ATTTGTTTTGTAAGCAACTAAGGCCCCTGTCTTTATAGAAGACAAATAACTATCTGACAGAAAGCCTAAAGTGTGCTGTAGGTAAAATCTGTATATATCCTCTTTATGCCAATTCCATTTCCTGGGAAGTCCAAGTACACATAATTTATTTGAGTCTGCAGATTAGCTACTGGGGGCTGATGCTAGATAGAAGAATTCACAGAAAACTTTTTATTTTCTGCGCTACTCGGAACAACATACATTTTAAAAAGATACTTGGTTGATACCTAGGATACTTGCAGCAACCCGTATCAACCTCAGAGCCAGTCAATGATATTTGTGATACATTTTTAAATGTTCACTTGACTGAGTTTCATGTTTAATGAATAAAAATTTATAATAATAATAATAATAATTATTATTATTATTATTATTATTATTATTATTATTATTATTATTATTATTTCCTCTTAAAAGCCATGTAAATAGCACTTCACAAATAATGGATGTGACAAGCCTTTATCATCACATGCTTTCAATTTTTTAGCAAACAAAAAACTGGAGCAGGAGAACAGGAAACAGAACTAAAAAGAAGAATGTACAATGTCATGTTTGGCTTAATAACAACAGAACAGCTTTTTTGCAATTTGGCATTTTCCAGATGTTTTGGGATTGGGAATTGCAATCCCACAACTGGATGATGCCAGATTGAAATAGGATGCAATTGTTCCAAATGCTTCATGAAAATAAATGATATTGACCCATACAGCAATTTGACTTTGAAGATAGCACATTTTTAAACAGCTTTCAGAGGGAAATCATTATGTGAATTCTGTATGCTTTGACAGGATATAGCAGCTTAAAGTAAAAGCAGTGAGTGGAATTTTAATTAAAATACAAAACTATCAAGGCATTTTAAGAATGAAATGATGTCTTTTCAACCATGTATGGAATGCAACATAGTTTCACTTCTAAATCATTGGTAAAATAACTGACCTTCAAAGGGAGTACGTTTATGCTTCCCGTGAATTAGGAGACAAACACTAATCTTCCATCCTCATTTTCTAATCATACTTCTATTTTTGTCTTGACAGCTTGTTTATTAATAGACTATTTAAAAAATCTTCAGCTTCTGATGCTAAAATTGGTCTTCTTGAGGGTTTACATACAGAGTTCAGAAGCAGTATTAGATTTGCTTATATAAAAAGTACAAACTGGGCTTTAAAAACCAAACTCCACCAATCACTCATGTCATATCAACATCTTGCAGAAATATATAGAACTTTGAATTAATTAGCAGTAATTAGCAACATCCTTAGAGTAATGCAACATAAGCCAAATGATGTCATTAAAACCTGATTGAATGTTATGTTCCAATTAAATGTTCTCTGAAATAAATTATGAAATATCTTCTAATATAGTATATAAGCAAATGTCATTATATATGCATACAGTTAAATGACTATATTCTTGGTAAGCTTTAGGTTAGGATGTTGCACTATACCTTTTCTTCATGTCTCCCTCACTGTGGACCATCATTCCCCAGATTAATCGCCACCTTATTTTTCTGAAAGGCTCTGAAGACATGGTTCTGTTGGTGGATTTAGGGACCCCAGATTATGGAGCCAATCAAGTGGCTTGTTTGACTGTGTTTGTCACTGTCATGGGAGGAGAGGTCAGAGTTTGGGGGTTTTATTACTGTATATCACCTGGCGTCACCGTATATGAGTTGGGCAGCTATATAAATTTGTTTAATAAATAAATAAATCCTCATGTCCTGTTGATCTTGAGCTTTAAGTTTAAATTTTGCTGGTTTGTAGTGCCTGGTGCAACAGTGTTATACTTTTGCAATATTGTAGTTCATGTATTCCTACCTTTTGTCAAGGAACTCAAGTTACTTTAGACAGTACTCTTTCCTCCTGTTTTCCTGTACAGGTCTGTGTGATTGGTTGAGCTGAGGAAAAATGAGAAGATCAAAGTCACTCAAAGAGCTTCAAGGGGTGAGTGGAGAATACTACTGATATTAGCAGCCACATTTTTAGACCATTGTAGCCCAGCAATGAACAACACACTTCTTCAGATGGCCTTGTGTATGAGAGTCATGCAAGCTGACCCCCCCCCCAAAATGGTATTATTTAAGAATTTATTCAATAGGTAGATTGGAAAATCAGACTATGTAGTACCTGCCACTTAACCTATAGTAAAACTGGGTAACAGGATGACTTAAATTTCAATTGCAAACACTAGAGTGTTTTTTATTTTGGTTTCCAAACAACTGTAATGATATCAATTTTATTTGAAGAGCCATCTCTCCCCAATGGGAGAAGCCTTCCTACTCACATCAGAGTCCTGCTATAGATCCAATCTGCTGAGGAATTGGAGCTGGCAGGATCAAAGAAGAGCCTTTTCTGGTGTGGCCCATCTCTGTGAAACATTCTACCACTAGAGCTGAGAACTGCCCTCACCCTTTTGGCCTTATGGTATGGTATTAAAACATGGCTTTGACACATGGCCTGCAGCCCCAAGGACACTCTCTACCGGTGGTGACTGATGTGGTAAGATCTCATCCCCAACACATCCAGCTCTTAGTTCTCTTAGTTTTAATTATAGCACAGTTTTTAGTACTTTAATCTGGGTAACTTTACTGTATTGTTTAAATCAATATACTGCATCTTCTATAAAGATGCGGATTCAATTTGTAACACCTTACCTAATAAAATATCGGGGAAATACTGATCTTTATGTGCAACTATTATCAGATCAATGAAAGTAGTTTTGTGGCCAAATTTTGCTATGTTGTATGTAAAATTAGGCAAATAACATCCCACTGATAATCCACCACCAACCACAATATCAAGCGCAATTTATTCTACCTTTTATTTTTGTTTTTTACTATTATTATTGTTTTTAATTATTTTGTTTGGAGTATTGGTCCATGACCATAATAGACTGTTGTAATAAATAAGTAAGTAAGTAAGTAAGTAAGTAAGTAAGTAAGTAAGTAAGTAAGTAAATAAACAAACGAATTGTAAAATAATTTCCTTAGCCAAACTTTCTAAGCTAGCATGGACTGCCACTCTACCTACTCTGGCAACTCTGAAGTCAAAAGCAATGAAGACATTTCAAATTTGAAATAAAGCATGTCTCACATGTCTCTACACCTAACAGCGTATTCCTCCTCTCACCACAAAACAAGGGCCTCCTGAATCATTTAAAGAACTCTCCTTAGATCTTAGGTGCACTTGTGCTTCTTTTTAATGCAATTATTTCACCCTTATTATTTTACCAAACAGCTTCAAAAGAAGCAGTTTACACAGTTGGTCAAACAGGCTAAGAGAAACTTCTAAGCAAATGCATAAATTCATGCCTTTGAACCTAAGAGCTAGGAAATCTTTTTTTAGGAAAACCCAGAGTCTTAAAGGAAAGATGAAGAGAGATGAGGAGAGCACATTTTTCTCCTTCTGGCCACTTTTTACAGAGGCACAATTGAGAATGTTTTAACAAACTGCTGTTGGTTTGGTGGTAGCAGTGCCTGAGATATAAAGTCTATATAGAGTGGTAAAGACAGCCGAGATTATAAGAAACTCACTTCCTGTTGTAGGAAGAAATATCCTTCTGGATTCAGCTCCAAGTGGGGAAAAAGAAACTGGAAACATGGAGACTGCTTGGAAAGATGGTTTAATGATGGACAGGATCACATGGTTTGAGTTCCTGAACAGAAAAGGGGCCGAGATGCAGCGAGTCCCCGGGTTTTATGCGCTCTCTGGCTTTGAACTTCCTGGGGCCCAGGAAGAGTATCCTGATTAGTTGTCAGACTCCCAGGGGGTGGGGGTCTTAGCTAGCCTTACTGGCTGATGTAACCTTCCCAGGTGCCATGTGGTGAGTTTCTGTTGCTAGATGGGTCCTATTGTGTTAGTTTCAGTTGCTAGATGGGTCCTATTGTGTTGCAGATGATGGTCCATTGACAAAGATGGGAGGGAATTGAGTCTCTGCCTCTGGCGATTGACAAAGGGTGGCGGGGGGAGAAGGTGGGAGCTGCTTCATCTTTAAAACATGCTTCTCCATTTCTCCAGGGAAACATAATACTCTGCCTTTTTAATATTTTTAATATTTCCCAATATATTTCATTCCTCTAGGAAAGGGGTGAGTGCTAACTTCCTACACTGATATTCAGGATACTGCTTATAAGCTCTCTGCTTAGAACTCAAAAGCACTGTTAGAGACCCCTCACACCCCCTTTATGGTCTGTTTCTGTTGGTCGCCTCTGGGAGGAGGTTTCGAAGTATTTCTAGCAGGACTACCAGATTCTGGACTACCAGAGCTTTGTTCCCTATGCCATCCGTCTTTTTTTCTCACCATGTACACGTATATATCCGAACTAGACTGTTGTTTGTGTGTGTCATATAATAAATGTGGGTATATCCATTTTTTATTTATTTTGTCATAGTTACGTAGTGTATGTTGGAGGTATGGTGTCCCTTTGAGAGCTGTATGCAACGATAATTTCATTTTAACGTATGTCGAATAGTGTACATTTAAAGTGACAATAAAGTTATTCCAAGTTTGAAATTATGGTTTAACAAGACTAGGAGCATCCGAAAAGCGCGCCAAGGAGCTCGAAGTAGCAGCGTTTCTCCTCCAAGCCTGAGGAGTAGCAGCCTCCTCACGCTTGGAGAGCCACGGGCGCCACAATCGACAGTCCGCTCCGCGCCATCCAAAGAAGAGACTTGAAGAACGATAGGAAGGGCCCTCCCTTGGCTTCGGTCTCCGTGCCTCAAGTTGAATAGTGCCCACTTCCACCCCTAGCAGGGGAAAAACAGGCCGCTTTCGCCACCCTAAGCTTGACTTCCATCATGGAGAACCACCGCCTCTCGTCCCGCCTGATTTCTGCCGTTAGCAAAACCGACGAGAGACAAACTTCCAAAGGCCGCCTCGTCTCCCGTTGAAATCTCGCGCGATGTCTAGGGCGCCGCCCCCCCCCCCGCGGGATCTCGCGCCTTCTCCCCGCCTTCTCGCGAAGGGCGGGCTCGGGCCACTGTCAGAGCGGCCTCCGGGAGGCTGCGGGATCCCGGGGGTGCCTTTGCGGGGGCCGGTGCCGACCGGACCTCCTTATTCTCGGCGGCTCTCTTGCCGCGATTGGAGAGAAGAAGACTGCCGGATTCTGACGGCTCGTGCCTGGCTGTGTGAGGCTCGATCTCGCCGACTGTAAGCACAACCTGGAGAAAAAAGAGGCGCGCGCGTGTTGGCCCGGATGCGAGAGCAGCCGGGGCTTGTTGGGCCACCTTCGCTCCGTTAAGCGAGCCGGTGGCTGAAGGCCGGTGGCGCCGAATGAGTAACGGGACTGCAGGAGAGACTTGTGGCGGGAGCTGTTGCGGCATTGGCTTGATGGAGGATGATCGTGTCCTCCTTCGGGATTTGTCTTCCAAAGCATTACCGCATATAGCGCTTGTCAGGAATAAAGGCTCTTGGTCAAGGGGTCTCCAACCTTGGCAACTTTTAAGACTTGTGGACTTCAACTCCCAGAGTTCCTCAGCCAGCTTTGCTGGCTGAGGAACTCTGGGAGTTGAAGTCCACAAGTCTTAAAAGTTGCCAAGGTTGGAGACCCCTGCTTGAGTCTTGACAGTTGAGCTTTGTATTTCCCAGTTATACCGGGTTACTTGGAAACGGGGGAAAGTTTTTCCTGTGGCGGGGAGCGCATCAGTTGTAAATTTGCCTTGTTTTGGCTGTTCTTTAGAAATGGAGGTTGAAACGTTCCTATAGAAATACCAATTTTTTTAAAAAAAAAATAATCCTGGAGCTATTTTTTTTTTAATCTTTTTGTTAACACTCAAAAACAATGTTTAAAAAAAAACAACCCTTCAAGTGTGCTCTGGAAGAAACTGTCATGCAGACAGTTGTCATTCTGGGAGGACAGAAGGAAGGCTTCAGTAGCTGCCCTTCTCACCTGAACTGTCATTCTTGAGCCAGGATGAGGAACCTCTGCACAACTGAGGTCACAAGAAGTTAGAAATGCTGCAGAGGCCCAGAGAAAGGACTGGGTTTTTTTCCTTTTTCCCATCTTCTTTCTTTTTATTTATTAGAATGTAAAATACAAAGGAAAATGAAAATAGTGAGGAAAGTAGGGGAGGGAAAAGAGAAGAGAGGAAAATGTAGGGGGGAAATGAAGAAAAGCATTGACTTCTCACATTTTAGTGCAGTAGAATAACATACAATCTCAATTTTTTATTTTTACATAGTAGTATATAGGAATCATCGCTATAACAACTAATTTACCTAATCAGCAAAACCCAAAGTCAGTGTTTCATTTTTTTCCCATCTCAGTAACAAAGTCGAAAAGCAGTTTCCAAGTGGATTATTCCATTTATGTCTTGACCAGGGGTGAAATCCAGCAGGTTCTGACAGGTTCTGGAGAACCGGTAGCGGAAATTTTGAGTAGTTTGGAGAACCGGCAAATACCATCTCTGGCTGGCCTCAGAGTGAGGTGGGAATGGATATTTTGCAATATCCTTCCCTCAGGAATGGGGAGGGAATGGAGATTTTGCAATATCCTTCCCCCAGGAATGGGGAGGGAATGGAGATTTTGCAGTATCCTTCCCCTACCACACCCACCAAGCCATTCCACGCCCACCAAGCCACGCCCACGGAACCAGTAGTAAACAAAAATTGAATTTCACCACTGGTCTTGACATAATTAAAAACTACTCTTGGTGGCAATTCTATCTCAGACTCTCGTTCTCTATAGCCTTTACTTAAAATACATGGAATTAAATACAGCTCTCTGTTTGAAAGGCCTTGTAGCATTGTAAAAGCCATTTCAAGAAAATCTGGAACATAGCATCCAGCTACTTGAAATAGAATATTAGCAATCATCTTCTCTGCCTATTAGTAAGGGCATTGAATAAATGAATTCCTTGTTAAAATTAGGTCCTTTCTCTGTGCTTTGATCTCTTTGAAGGGCAATGTTGTAGATAGTAGCATCTCTTCATCCTTCTTTTCATTCTTTCAAATATTTAGTCCTTTCTGCATTATGATTCCCACTTTATCGGAGAGTTATTCTTATTCTCTGTTTCTTATACCTTATTCTGTAGTTGGAAACAGGAGGAGGCTAGACGTGGCAATACATTCCCAGATCCCTGCAGGAGAGCCATGGCTTATGATGATTCCAAGGAAAAAAAAGGTAGGATTGTTTCATAATATAAGAGATGTTACTAGCCCAGCCATGTGTGGAGGAAAAATCCAGTACCTTGCTTGGATTGGGTGTCTACAGTTTTTCATATCTTCTCTCCTTATTCTCAAATTTGTGGGAATCAGGACTGGAACAAGAGTGTCACAAAGAATAGTGTAGAATGTTGACAGGGTAGAATTCTATCTTAATTCTTAATTCTATCAGCTCCAAGGAATAATAATTCAATTTAGACTGAATGCATAACTTCTGCATTGTAGAATCCTAATATCTATGTCTTTGTATGAGCAGCCTTTTCAATTCTTATCATAGGGAAGGAATTGAGTAAGAATAAAACTTAATTTTTTTAAAACCACACTTACAACTTAGAACCACTGATGTTTAAGTTTGAATGGGTGTCTGCCTGTCTTGTATGCTTCTTTTTCTTCATCATCATTTATTTGGGGCCATAATATAGTATCTTATAATGAAAGCTTCCCTTCATTTTAATTGTATTCCTTTCTTACGTAATAACTAAACAGATGATGTGGGACTAGCAGCTGGCAGAACCCAATAAGGAAAGAAACGTTCTTATAAGGATCTGCTTCTGGAAAAGAAGGAGACAGCTGCTCAAGAAGAATACAGAAAATAGGCTGAAGGTGAGAGAACTGAGAGAGAAGGAGAAAAACCTTTATTCTGATTTTGTCAAAATGGTAACAATTGAATTAGGAGTGAATTGACAGTGAGTTTATTGTTCAATGTCATTATTTCATTAACTGAAATACAAGTTCCAGTATCTTTATGAATTATGAATGTGTATTACCGTTATTACTAATATTAGTGTCAATTTCATTTTATATTCCATTTCTCTGTCTATGGGGAATTCCATTCTGAAAAGTGGCAAAAATGGGAGCCAAGTGTAGCTCCTGAGGGATCCATAGCTTGAGAGCAAGAGAAGAGAAGGCCCTCTGCTGTGACCTAGCAAACAGACATTGAAAAGTAAAGGCAACTTCAAGAGAGTTTCTTTTGCATTTTGTAGCAAAAGTCCGATGGGATAGGAAAGGTCTAGGACTTTGGATGTTAAAACAAAGGTGTTAACCTGTTTTACAGAATAATTGACAATAAGTGCTGAACTTTTTAACACAAGTGTAACATCCAGCATCATGCACTGCTGCATTTTTCACTAATTGAAACTTCCAGAATATTCCAGAATTCTAGAATATAGAAGCTTCATGTAGAATACATTGCTGTGACCAGTTTGAGATGTAACCCAGACCTGTATAAATTTATTTATTATTAAATGATGTCTGACCCAACTAGATGTACCTTTCACCAGTTTGAATATTAAAAACAGCTCAAAAGCACTGCCAGCTATTGCAGACGTATTCTTTGAAGTAGTGTTTTACTATCTAGAATAAGGTAAACCCCAGTCCTGAGCCAGGTTTCCTGTAGCCCAGCAGCACTTCTCACATGTTTGAATTTAATTCCAGTTTTTTAACTTTGACCATTGTTGAAGTTAAGTAAATGTCGAAGAATATGTAAAATACTGTGGTGTGACTGAAAAATTGACAATATAAATAAAAAATACTCTTGCTGAATTAGTCCATTCAGTGAAGCATTCTGTTTTCAAATCTGATTAGTGAGATTTGAATTATAAGTAGATCATTATGAAGATCATAATTTCTGTTCCCTTCCTCTAATGTTCAGATATGCTGCTTTAAATATAAAATATTTAATGTAAGTATACGGGGGGGCAGGGGAGGGAAAGGGAATAGTTTCTGGGAAAGGTTCACAGTTTTTCTTTAAAACGATTATTCATTTTTTCTTGATCTATGATTTTTCTAATCAGAATGGGAAAAAACACATTTTTAAAAAAAAAAATATTCAGTTTTCTCTTGATGAATAATTTTCCAAATCAAAATGGTTCCGGTCTACTTCCATTTTGTAACCATAAAATACTTATTGTGACCAAAATTAAATACACTAAGTATATACAGCTTCCAGTATTCTCTCTATCAGAATCAAGATCTCCGATTCTGTTTTCCTCAAAAGAAAAATTTTAGTAACAGGAATGGGAAAATTACAGAGGAGAAACAGTGTCCCTGATAACTGAAATCAAACTCTTTGGAAAAATATAGGGAATTTGTGGACATTTAAAAATAAAAAATAATACCATTCAGAGAAAAATGTATATAATAACTAATATCTAACTCAGAGCTTCCCAATCTTTCACAGTTCACAGTCCTTAGTGTCTCAGTAATTTTTCCACAGCCAAAAGAAATACCTAACAGTTCTGTTTATTACATGGTTAGGTCCAAACAACATATTATATCCTAACTAATTAGTAATCAATTGACAAAAATCATTAACATAAATTGAAAGAAAATATATGTTCACTTCATTCTTAAATAACCATGCTTACTTACTAATAGAATGTGTTCATTTCTTGGGCATTGCAGAGTTTATTAAATCAGATTGGAATCAGATTGGACACCATTACCCTCATTTGCTTCTTCACATTGATTTTGCATGTTACCTGCTTTTTATCACAGCCACCACCAGAAACCCAGCTTTGCAAATGAACATCACAAAAATATGAAGCATTCCATGGCATCACTGAGTTTGTTGAGATGCCCCATTTGCAACCAAGATATAACCTGAATCTATTTCCATTTGGTTTCAACCCATTGGTTCTGGCTTCATTGTCTGGGGCAACAGAGGCCAAGTCCATTTCATCCTCTACAAATAGTCCTCGACTTATGACCACAATTGGGAGCAGAATTTCCATTTGCTAAGCAAGGTGGTTGTTAAGTGAGTCACATAGTCATTAAGTAAATCTAGCTTCCCCCCCGCCCTCCCAATTGACTTTGCTTGTTGGAAGTTAGCTGGGAAGGTCAAAATTGGTGACCATGTGACTCCAAGATATAACAGCCATCATAAATACATGCTAGTTGTCAAACACCCAAATTTGATCACATGACTATGGGAATGTTATTTCTCATGATCTGATGATCATAACCTGAAGACTACCTGAACCTTCACTAGCTAAATTTGCAGGATTTTACAAGCTTCCCAAACACTGTTCTTTAGGATTTCAAGTTACTGGATATGACCTACTGTCCAGAATTAATCAAAATCATCTCTTTCTCGTCACTTCCTTACTTTTTGGTCATTTTCCCTTCCTTCGGCCAATTTCTTGCTATTGGTAAAGATTACTTGTACCTTATGAAAGCAGGCTCTTTTATTCCCTCTTCCATGTTCTGACAAGTTGTTAACAAGAAAGCTGTTAACAAGAAAGGAGGTTGTGAGATCTCTAATGCTGGGCAGAGTTTGAATTTCCATCCCGTGTCAGGATAGATAAAAGCATCTATTGTTGTTATCACATAGCTCTTGTAAGCTTTGATAGCTGACCAAAACAATCTCATCCATATCCATATTGCCTATCAGGCAATCTATAATGATACTTTGTTACAAATTTCTGTACAGGTATATGATTCTTTTATGTATAGTGCAATCACCCTCTCTTTTTGTTGAGTCTCTTCCTTTTGAATAAGATACAACCAAAGTTGTGTATCCATCGTGTATCACTAAGTGTCAGTAATGCCTATGATATATTTGATATCTTGTATTAAGAATTTCAGGTAATATAATTCATCCCTGCATGAATCACCTTCCACATGTTATATCAGATCTCTCACTGTTATGTTGGTTCTGCAAAGAATCACCAATCACCACAAAATTCTTTTTATTTGGTTTCTTTGACCCATTGGGTCCTGAATCTCTTCCACCTTATTTTGAGATACCAGGGTTAGCATGCTTTATTAGGGTAGCCATGAATTGTCTTCTAGAACAAAACTGTAGTATCAGCTGCCAAACTCCACTAGCGCTGAGTATTTCTTGATTCTCTTGCTTTTAAGGGGGCGGGGGGGGGTTGTCACATTTTTCTACTTGTCTTCCCCTTCTCTGGTGTTTACTTTTCTGTGTCTCTCCTGAGGAATTTCATCTATCTTGTCCAGGAACTTCTCACATTTCCAGGTGTGTTAAAACCATGCTCCAGTGTCACACTCAGTAATTAACTGCAATCAGCAGTGCAATCAACAATTCAGTGGACAATCAATAGATGTCAGGAAGCAACGTAATCATTGAGCAACCTTCTCAACTTTCTTGCCTCTCTTATCTCTCTTCTCAAATGGCTTCTAAAAATACTTAAATTAGTTTCTAGTCTAACTGATTAATGTTGCATTAACTTAATCACAATTTACGATGTCTGTCTTTAAAACTAATCAGGTGGATCAAACTAGTGTATATTACTAGTGTAATATTTTGTATTGGACATCATGAGTATATTAAGCAGTATTCCATCATGTTCACCAAGTGCCATTACATTTTTTAGTCTATATCAAAGTATTGCTTTTGATCTCTAAAAACTTTCTGATTCTTGGTATTTAAATAGCTTCCCCCCACCCCCATACCTTAATCAAAATCCAAAGATACTTACCTAAGAAAGGCAAAAGCACAACTGAACATTCTTTTGGGGTTTCCACTGAAGAGGGAGTGTCAAAAAAGTAAAGATGGCAGGTGAGATTGTGCAGTTGAAGCCCTGTCCTTTTTTAAGGAGTGTAATGAGTACCTAAAACGGCAGGGCTTTAATCATATTACCCATTTTGAGGGTATTTGGTTAGCTGTGGAAATCCCTGTTCCAGAAAAATCTGCCTGCTCCTGTTTAATATATTTCTGGCCCTAGACAAAAACTTCTTAATTGGTTTAGGTATTCTATGTTTTAGTTTCTTGCTACTCCAACCCTGTATTTTATTCCTCTGACTTCAGATTTCTTACTCCAAATACTGTTTTCGGTTCCCTACATAATATGATTTTGAATATTGATAATATATTGTATTTTGCAGTTTTCCTTTCTTGCAAATCCAGCAGGTGAGGTGTAAGATGTTCAGTAAACTGTTGCATTATTTATAGAGTTCACTAAAATAGAATATAATATTATGACTATAAGATTAATAATCCAGAAGCCTTAGAGCCATATCCTTTGTAAGAACAACAACTGAAGTTTTCTAGCTGGGTAGTTTAATAATCTGATGTTAGGACAGTTTGTAAATGAAGCTACCGTTGATTTTGACATCCTGTGCATGTACTTATTTTTACCTGTTTTCTCTGTACTCTATTTTAGACTTTTGTCCTTTTGAACTTTCCTTGCCTTTGGAGTCATCATCAGCGAATAGAAAAAAGTAATTTTTTTCACTCTCTGCTAACACTGCCATGGATTTGCTTAAAGCCATCAACACTCCTTTAACTACCGGCTCCAAATCATCTAAAAGGACTTTGGAAAAACCATCTCATTCTTCATTCAGTGCTGCCAATTATTCAGAGGGTAAGAAGGAACATCACAAGAAGAAGCTGAGTGGAAGCAGCGATCCACCCTTGGATGATAGTACTTTCCACAAGTCCAAAAAAATAAAGCCACCATATGTAAACACTGAAATGCTGACCTTACGTGAGCCTGATGGCTTAAAAATGAAGTTAATCCTCTCACCAAAAGAGAAAGGGGGTACTGTAACAGAAGATCCCTTTCCGCATTCTGGAGCTACAAAAAAGACCTCTAAGAAGTCTAGTCGGGATGAACAAAGCTCGCAGCCCTCAAGCCATGATACACACAGCTTCTTGAAATCCCGCAAGAAGCACAAGCCACCTACAGATCCCCATCCCCTTTCTCCTGCTGAGGGCTTCAGCCCAGACACATCCCTCTTCCCTGAAGGCCAAAGCAGTGATTTTGAGCTTTCAAACTTGGAACCACAAATGGAATCTGAATCTTCATCTGGAGGTGAGTTGGAAGCTGGAGAACTAATCATTGACGATTCATATCGGGAGATAAAAAAGAAAAAGAAATCAAAGAAGAGTAAAAAGAAGAAAGACAAGGAGAAACACAAGGAGAAAAAACACTCTAAATTGAAGAAGAGTTCTGGACTCTCTTCATCACCAGCAGCAGTGGAAATAACACCACAACTGCCTGTTTCTCCAAATAGTATCCAGTTTGCTCTACCTGCCCCTCCTCCTTCTTCCTCACCACTACCACCTGTTTTCTGTACAGATAGCCTGAATGAGAAAAAGAAGAAGAAAGAAGAAAAAGAGAAGATTGAGAAAATAGAAAAAGAAAAGGTAAAACTGCATAGCAAGTGAGTACTATAAGTTATGGTTGATTCTTGTAATAGCAAATTCAAAATGTTCTTTGTAATTCCAGTTTTTAAGCCATAATCTGCTACCGGTATTTAATCCAGAGGTTTTTGTGTTGTAAAATGTTTTAGATTGTGTCTTTTTTCATTATCATCATGAACTTAAGGCATTAAGAAATCCTGCATTTTTTCCTCCAACTATAAAACTATGGCTTGTAAAAAAAATATATACTCCATAACAAAAACTTCAGCTCAGGTACTAATGTATAAAGAAGTGGACTATGAGATGGTTTTTCAGGTATTTCTGTAGGTATTAGAAAGAAATTGATACTAGTACATACTGTAAAATATTATCTCCCTCCCCTTTTTTTCTAATTAGCCAAAGAAGAAAAATATGTCTGCCTACCAAGTATTCTGTAAAGAATATCGTGTGAACATTGTGGCTGAGCATCCAGGAATAGGTAAAATAATAGCTCTGTAAGGGTTGAATTTTTGTTGTATGCTTAAAATCCAACCTCTATTATAGTTTCTTTAAATTATTTGCATAAAGAATAAAGTACCCATTGGAACAGTAAGTGAGGAGATTATGCACATGCTTATAGAGACACACATTTTTAAAATCTGTACTTTCAGGAAGAGATACTTTCTCACTTTCTCACGGTGAAAAAGTACATTTCTTAGTGATACCATGTGCATTTCATATTCAAACTTAAAAAGACATTTTAGCTGGTTGCCGAAAAATACAAAACTTACTATTACATATAAATCATCCTGATGGGAAGATTCGAGATTTGAGATGTCACCTCTAAATTTCCAATTAGTCTTTTCCTCACTATTAGAACCCAGAGAATATTTGACACTTACTGTAATAACTTGTTTGGCCATCTTTAAGTTAGAACTATAAAGAACTAATTTTAAAGAATAGAAAGGCATTTCCCAGTTCTATTCTAGTGCTTGTGGTTTAAAACAATTGCAGTTTCTTATCAGGGCAGGGCCACATAAAACATACTACAATAATTTATATTTTGGCATATTTTAAAACAAGACCATAAAACAGGGCAAACAGTGTTTTAATTCTCAAGACAACATGGCCAATCGTAGTTCAGGTTCTGAGTTTCCCTTTGTCTTGTTACACAGTTTTTGAATTAAGCAAGTGGTCACAGTGTAGCTTGCTGTGAATGTTGAAACCATCTTTAATATTTTTACTTATGGTAGTAATTTGTATAGCCAAAATATATAAAGTCATTCATTATAGGATGCTTTCTACATTTAATATAAAATCTGGCATGGATAGCTTTATATTTCATAGTTATTGAAAAATATTTATTGTTACATGTGTTGTTAATGTGTCTTATAATGGATTCAGTGCTTAACTAAATATTCATGAATCCTCATTAAAATTAGAAACTACCTGCTTTTATTCTGAACTGTTCACCTTCTCTGATTTCCTGCTAGATTTTGGTGAGCTGAGCAAAAAGCTAGCAGAGGTTTGGAAACAGCTTCCAGAGAAAGATAAGCTGGTAAATATTTGAGAGGACATTTTTAAAAAAATCTTGAGTTGACTTGCGCCCAGGATGCTACCATAGTGCATGCATTAATTTACTCCCCAGTGTAGTTTATGTATAGCAGTCCCCTCCACATTTAATAATTATGAAATGCTTGGGATCTAAGTACTCTTTAACTATGTGGGCTGCATATTTTGCTAATCAATTGCCTAAACAATGCAGTTTTCATATCAGTTTTGCTTTCCGTATTCTTTGTAGGTTTGGAAGCAGAAGGCTCAGTATTTGCAACATAAGCAGAATAAAGCAGAAGCGACAACAGTGAAGAGAAAAGCAATGTCATCAGAAGGTTCCCCAAAATTGAAAGGTAGCTTCCACATTCCATTACATTCATATGTTTTCTTCCCATGATAATTTTTATTATTGTAACTAAATATATTGGGATATTTGTCTGTGTCATCAAATTGTTCCAAGATTCCAGAAATGAAATTTATCATTAACCAGCTGATGAGAAATTGGCAGATATTAGGGCTTTGGTTTACTCCCAGAGCTCAGAATTCAAATATGAAGGTCTGAGAAGTATCAGAAAAGCTGCTTTAGGCCAGGATTGCTGTTAGTTTGCCTATTAGTCAGACTATCTAGAACATGTCTGCATAGATTAAAACAATGAATTAAATACCAAAACACCATAGGCACAAAAAATGTAAATTTGCTTGGGTTTTTCATAATTGTGTATTAAACTGATTTGACTTTTAGATAATTATCAGCTGTCTTTTTAAAATAAAGTAATAGATGGAACGGTATGAGAGATCTGGGAAAGCAGTGGTTGAGGAGTTGAGTTATTTGAGAAGAGGCAGCACGGTCAGTATATTTCAAAGAGACTCCACTTAAATTAATTCATTGTAACCAAAGTTGAGAATTTACTTTGGCTGCTGTCAGGATTTTGTTTTAATCCAGACTTAACTATACTTTCTTTAACTCTGTGTTATTCTTGCTTTTATCACCTAAGTAGCGTTTGACCTAAGGTCAAAGGATTCTTATTCAGTCAAAACTGTTAACTCCATGAATTGAATAATCAATACAAAATATTCACCATGTGAAATAGGCACAAATATGAAGAGAGGGAACTTTGGTGGAGCAGTGATTGGAGAGCTGTCTTTCACAATCTGATGCTGTCCATGTATGTTAGTCTTCATGCTTCACAAGTACCTGGAGATTGTGAAAATTCAAATACAACATAAGGGAAGGTTAACGGAAAGCTTCTTTGGACAGAATCAATGCAAGCATGAGTTATTTTGAGTTGTGAGGGAATTTGATAATAATTATTAAACTTCTATGCTCTCTGGGCAGCTTTTCAGCTCTTCTTTTTTCCAAAAGGCATGAATTAGAGAAATATTCACATATATGAGATGTTTCCCTGTTTCACGTTTTTTGTATATTGTATAAGATTACAATTTTAAAACAGTTTTATTGTCCGTTTTCAGCTTCTCTAACAAGCGTGCCTTCACCCCATAAAAAGTCCCCAACTAGCACGATGGTATTATCCTCTTCACCAGTAAAGGTTCCTGAGACAGATCCCATTGATGTAGCTGCACATCTGCAATTACTGGGAGAATCTCTGAGTCTTATTGGCCACAGGCTGCAGGAGACTGAAGTAAGTACCATGTGGTTTCATTCTTCTGTAATATTTGTAGAAAATAAAGAAAATATATACAAGATCTTTTGCCAGGAAATAGTGAGTTGAAACCTATTTTAAGTCTACCACAGAGAGATATTTGGAAGTAGTTCAGGTAGGTATTTCCCTAATTCAGACTTATAACAAGGAAGAAGCACAATCAGACTTGCATGATTCTATTATTATAGCCAATCTTAATAAAAGTAGTATTACCCTTCCTATGTAGTTGATTTCTTGGTCTAGTATATCTAGTAAGGCTGACAATATTGTTCTTCAGTCAGATCATGGGTGGATGGTCCCTAGGTCACATGTGGCCCCCAGCTCTAGTTTTCAGCATCCTAAAATTGTAATGCAGATGTCTACTTTTGGTAATAAATTTTCATTTTAAAAAAATAAACCATTGAAATAAATCTAATTCACCTACAAAAATTGGAGTTGAAAATTCCAGCCCCACCTCTTGTAGTGAATAGTTAAGATTAATGGAAATCACAATCCTGAAAAAATCTGGAGTATGCTATGTTGTAGAAGATTGGCTCTTGATGCACTGACTCCAGCCTCTGTCCACTCCTTGTAAAAGTCCCCAACACTTTTGAATGACCTTTTCCTGACAATCCTCTCTAGGCTGCGGTCATCCCTGCTGCTTGTGCACCTTTTTCTTCCACACTTTTCCCTTCCACATAACTTTCTATTAATGTGCTTTGATACAGCACTTTGGGAACATCCAACTTCTTTTGCAATTACCTTTTGAGGCTTTCCCTCCTTATGGAGGATGTCAGTGATGGTTTTCTGCACAACTGTCAGGTCAGCAGTCTTTCCCATGATTGTGATTCCTACTGAACCAGACTGAGAGACCATTTAAAGGCTCAGGAACCCTTTGCAGGTGTTATGGCTTAATTAGCTGATTAGAGTGGAACACTTTGAGCCTAGAATATTGAACCTTTTCACAATATTCTAATTTTCTGAGATTGTGAATTTGGGGTTTTCATGAGCTGTAAGCCATAATCATCAAAATTATGACAAATCAAGGCTTGAACTATCTCGCTTTGCATGTAATGAGTCTATCTCATATATTAGTTTCACCTTTTAAGTTGCATTACTGAAATAAATGAACTTTTGCACAATATTCTAATTTTTCAAGTTTCACCTGTAGATTAACAACTTTTCTCATTCCTTTTTGGCCTCCCAGGGAATGGTAGCCGTATCAGGAAGTTTATCAGTTCTCCTGGATTCAATTATTTGTGCTCTGGGCCCTTTGACTTGTCTCACGTCCCAGTTACCGGAGCTAAATGGCTGCCCCAAACATGTTTTGGTAAGTTACACTTAATTACCAAGCTGTCTTATTATGTCTTAAAATTTAATTGTGCAAGGCACAAACAGAGACCCCATTCAGTATAGTAGTTGTATTCAGTGCTGCAGATGCAGTTGCAATGGGTGATGGCAATAGCAGGTGGCAGGAGGTATGCAGCCAACCAAAAGGGCAGAGACAATGGGAGAGATAGGCAGGTGAGTATAATATGATGTGGGAAATTGTCACATCTATTTCAGCCATTGTTGTTTTAAAACAAAGTAAACAAATAGGAAAAATCCTGAACAAAAAATTGGAAGATTTATTGTCAATTTGGGCAATGCAGAAGTGGGGCTGGGAAATCACAAGTTGCCTTTGATGGGGCTTTCCTTAAATATTCTATTCAAACAAAAAGTGTTTCACTTTGTAACAAACATATTGAATTAATTTAATGTTTCTGTCTTTTCAGTCAAACACATTAGATAATATTGCCTACATAATGCCCGGTCTTTGACAAAAAAAGCAAGTGTGGAAAATAAACTACTGCCATGCTACTGGTGTGTATACATATATATTGGGTTCTTCAAGTCTCAACCTACAGAATTTTAAAGTTTTTTGTCAATAACTGTTTAACTTGCTTTTATGAAAAAAGTCCAGAACTTGAATTTGCAAGAATTGAAGAATGTTTTCTTAAGTCTGTGTGTTTCTACATAACTAGAGTTTAGTATTTTTTTATATATCGGCCTTAATATAAAAGGAAAAAGATATATTGAATTATTTTAATTAGAAATGTCAAGCAAGTTTTGGACAAACACATGCCATGGACCCAATACCACTAATATTTTAGATATAAAACAGAGCCCTTATGGTGCAGTGGTTAAACTGCAGTGTTGCAAGCAAACTCTGCCCGCGGCCTGGAGTTTGATCCTGACAGGGCTCAAGGTTGACTCATCTTTCCATCCTCCCAAAGACAATAAAATGAAGACCTAGATTGTTGGGGCAATATGCAAATAATGCTTCAACATTGTAAACCATCCAGAGAGTGGTGTAAAGAGCTATGGAGTGGTATATAAGCCTAAATATTATTACTATTGCTATAAAATATTACCGGTACTTCTCTAAATGGAGACAATGGAATGGAGAAAAAATAATGGACATGTTCAAATTAATGATGGAGGGAAATTGTCGTATCCTTAAAGAACTGTTCGGACATTAGGAATTCTTTATTAAATGTTGCATTAATTGTCAGGGCTACATACAAATTTGGGAGTGAATGAAATCAAATCATTAAAATGGTTACTTCTTTAATGTGACTGCTTAAAGCAGCTATATTTTTCTACACACACACACACACACACACACACACACACAGAGTTTTAATAAGTAGCAGTGAGGTGCTAATTCATGTTCATTTAAGTCTTGAAGCAATTCTTCCAAATCATTTTCAAAACATATATAGCACTAGTAATTACAGTATAGAAGTGTAATATTTCATACAATGTTCAGATTATGAAAGAAAAGGAAGATCTTTAGCCGACAATTCCAAGCTCCAAATTCTTCACATTTAGATAGTGACTTCTGAAACAGTAGCTAAAAATATTGTCATAGAAATCAAGAGCGTTCCCCCAATTATGCAAATTCCAATTTAGCATTCTTATTACCAGCAACTCAACTTCTTTCTCTTATGGTGCTAACATTCATGTACAGGCAGTTAGACAGGTGATGTTGAAGGACTTATTAATAATAAGAGGAAGAGAAATCTAATGTTTCAGCACTGGCTTAAGCGCTCTGAATCTGTTCTTCTCTGGGAAAGCACTTGCATAGGATTAAGTATGGCATTTTTAACATAGGAATTTACATTTTTGGATATGCATTTTTGTAGATAACCATATTTTTTGGACTATAAGATGCACCTAGATTTAGAGGATGAAAACAAGGAAAAAAATAGTTTTTGGCCTCCACGCATCATGTTTTCGCCCTCCCCGGGCCCCCAGAAGCACTTTGAAAGCCAAAAACAGGCCCATTTTTGGCCTCCCAAACCCTCCTTGCATCCTGTTTTTGCAGAGTGTTTCTGGGGGCTGGGGAGGGTAAAAACGTGACACACGGAGGGTTTGGAAGCCCAAAAATGGGCCCAATTTTGGCAAAAACGGGCTGTGCAGAACACTGCAGTGTGCTTCCGGGGGCCGGGGAGGGCAAAAACGCAATGCACAGAGGGTTTGGGAGCCCCAAAATGGGCCCATATTTGGTCTATAAGACGCACCGAAATTTTCACCCACTTTTAGAGGGGAAAAGGTGCGTCTTATACTCTGAAAAATACCGTAGTTTTAATTAGAACACAAAAAATTCTTTCTATTACTACTGTTCAGAAAACATGTACAGGTAGTCCTCAACCTATGGCCACAATTAAGCCCAAAATTTGTTGCTGAATGTGACAGTTGTTAAGTGACTTTTGCCCCATTTTATAACTTTTGCCAGCTAAGTGAATCATTGTTATTGTTAATATAGTAATGCACTTGTTCACTTGTTAAGTGAATATGGCTTCCCCATTGACTTTGCTTGTCAGAAGGTCACAAAAGGTGATCACATAATCTAGGATGCTGGGTCATAAGAGCCAGTTGTCAAGCATTCAAATTTTGATCGCATGATCACGGGAGTTGCTGCAATGGTCATAAGCTTGAAAAATGGTGATAAGTCACTTTTTCAGTGCAATTATAACTTCAAATGGTCGTTAAACAAATGGTTATAAGTCAAGAACTAACCTGTATTGGTTTTATAATCTATACACCCTTATCATAATTGAACTTCAGGTTATAACAAGTATTGATTAAAAGGAGATTTTGAATTTTTAAAAAAGTATTCATATGAAAATAGCAATACAGGCAGTCCACGACTTACAACCATTCATTTAGAAAAGTGAAAAAGTGGCATATGTCCAGTCCTCACACTTAAGAACATTGCAGAGTTCTCATGATCATGATTGGATGCTTTGTGACCCTCATATATTTACATGCCAGGGTAATGTAGCGTCATTTGTGACCTGTCCAGCTGGCTTCTGACAAACAAAGTCAGTGGGGGAAGCCAGATTCACTTAATGATCACAGCAAAAAGATAATAAAATTAGGTGGAGTCACATGATGACTCACATAACCACCACATTGCTTAGTGATGGAAGTTCTGGTTCCAACTGTGATTGTGAATCGATGTGTCCTTATAGTGTGATTAAAAAAATGGATAAAACAAATGTTAAAATTCTAACCTTATCACATAGGATTTAAAAATCTTAAAACAATAGGAAATGAAATAATTTTGAATCCAAGTATATACGGTACATCACTTACCTAGGCTCTTAGAGTTGATATTTTTCTAGTTGGTGGACTATTAACTTGACTGGTTTTCCATCATTTCATCTTAAGCTTCCTGTAAATAATGAAGCATCTGTCCCCATTCCTATCCCCTCGTTAAACCTGATGATTAAAGTACTATGTGCTAAGAGCTAATGACTTGAGGTTTTAAAAACCTATTCAGATTTGATATTATTTGAACAGTGCTACAAACAATGTAAGAACCAATTGAGATAGTGATTAAGGCATCAGACTAGAAACCAGGAAAACATGGAAGCCAGCTGGTGACCTTAGGGGAGTCATTTTTCTCTAAGCCCTAGGAAACAGACAATGGCAAACTACTTCTAAAAATCTTGCTATGTATCACTGACTCAAAGTTGTGCAGATATACAAGCAGTATATGAACTATAAAGAATGTCAATCTTTAGAGCTGGACATTTAGCAGAATCATTTAATTGCATTTACACTAAATCACTGCTTTTGGAAAGTTCTTTGAATTTTCAGCATTGAGTGGAAAGTCTTTAAATTAGGAGTTCGGTAGCACCTTTTCCAACTAAAAAATGTAATTAAAAGGCATAATCTGTCTGACCAAATGAGCTACATCTGACAAAAGCTTATTCTATTTAATACAATTTGTTAGTTGGTGCTATCAGACAACTGATTTTTTTGCCAGCCTAGACTAATACAGCTCTCCTACAAATGAAGAAAGGTGATTTTTACTTATGTCCTTCTGTCCTGTTACCCCACCCACAGATATATCACAAAAGCTAGAAAAATCAGAACACAGAAGATAAGCACAGGCGAGTCAGAAATAATTGCCTTCTTCCAGTGGCTGAAATAATCTGTCAATTAAAGGCTTTAATTCATAAACAAACAATATGTAGCTTAAATTTTCAGCATCTTGGATTAAATAGAAGATCTGCTTCACATTTACCATGTGCAATGTGGTAGACTTGATGTTTTTAAACATACAAATGTACTTGATGTACCTTTATTTAAAATTTGTACACATTTGTATAATACATATCTTGTCATATTTGATCGTGAAAGGTTTTGAACCTGTGCTTTTGTTTTTTTATAGTTCCTGCATTTAACCACCTTGCTATTGTACATAAATGTTTTTATACCTGGAAATTTCATTTTGATTCATTTCTATTTCCTCCTATTAATTCATGTACAGGTTTTTCAATATCAGAAAATTTTCTATCCCTCTGCCATCAGTATGATACTATGTATGATAATCACCTATATATATCCTGTAGGACTCTGTATTCTATGCCATTTTTTAAATTTTGTCTCAATGTTATTACAGTTTGAAATTCAATCAGTGTGTCTACCAGGAACAGTTGTTATAAACTTTTTAGTTGTAAATGAGTTTGTCATAATTTTCATGTGAGGTTTGTGGGTCACTCTGCTGGCATTTATAACAGTTTGGGTCCTGAGGTGGAAAAGCATAGTACAGGTAATCCTCAACTTACAACTGTTCATTTAGTGACTGTTCAGTTACAAAGGCACTGAAAAAATTACTTATGACCATTTTTCACTTACAACCTTTGAAGCATTCCTGTGATCATGTGAACAAAATTCAGATGCTTGGCAGCTGGTTCATACATATGACCACTGCTGTGTCCCAAGATCATGTGATCATCTTTTGCAATCTTTTGCTATGCAAAATCAATGGGGAAGCCAGATTCACTTAACAACCATATTACTAACTTAACAACTGAAGTGATTCGCTTAAGTTGGTCTCTTCCGGGTTCCGTCAGCTAAACAATGCCGGCTGGCGGGCCCACGGGGGAGGGCCTTCTCTGTGGCTGCCCCAGTTCTCTGGAACCGGGGACGGATGGTCCTGAGATCTGGACCATCCCCACTCTATTGGCCTTCCGAAAAGCGGTGAAGACCTGGCTTTTCCGGCAGGCCTGGGACCGTTGATCTCGCTGTTGTGATCTGGCGAGATCCGGCCATGAATGGTATGAATGGGTTTTAATTGTTTTTAATGTTTTAATTTTTAATGTTTTTATATATGGTTTTTAAATGCATTGTAAGCTGCCTTGAGTCTTCGGAGAAAGGCAGCATACAAGTTGAACAAATAAATCAATCAATTAATTAACAACTATGGTCAGAAACATCACAAAATGGAGCAAATCTCACTTAACAAATTTTTCACTTAACAAAAATGTTGGGCTCAATTGTGGTCATAAATTGAGGACTACCTGTACTGTATTTACTTAAAATATGAAAACTTGAGCCTGTAACAGATCAACATGTAGATATATACTTACATTGTTTTTGATACAAGCTTGATTGTTTTAAAATTGAGACGTTTGTCCCCATATGCATTAGCATATCAAGCAAATTGTTGCTATTAAAGTTATTAGCAAGATGCTTTGTTTTTGAGGTGTTATTTCTATTTCCACATTAAATGACATCTAGTTAATAAAATACTGAAATATTAGTACTATGCTCATGATGCAAAATACCTTGAAATCATCAGTAATCCAATATTGCTGTACTGTTAGATTTAAAATTACTTTTTCAGCTGGGTGCATTTTGCATATGTATACTGTACATATAACTTTTCTGATAAAAATTCAAACATGTTACTTTCCAGTATTCCAGTAGATTTAAAGTATGAGAAATAGCTTTGCATTTATGGTTGGAAGTTGCAAAATGTACTTTTAAAATTTATAACCTTAAATTCATTTGAATCAGGGTGAGAATCCAAAAATTTTCTCAATGCTTTACTGAGTCAACTCAACAGAGTTTCTTTCCTGCTTTGAGTTGATATAAGTATTTAATTGTATGTAGAAAGCTACCAATAACTCCCTGAACGTATGGGTTTGAATGGGGAAAACAGTCCGACCACTTTGGCATCTATAATTACCTAAACGTTGCTACTGAAAAACAAGTGGAAGACATCGGGGAATGGAAGATACCTCAGCTCGGCCCTAGTGGCAGCAAAGCGCCTTTTTAGGGATAGGTTTCATAGGGCTTCGATTGCGGCAGAGCGAAATGGGAGTCCGTTCAGGCTGCTTTCTCCCGAGCAGGCCCTCCGCGGAAGCTACCAATACTGCGATGACTGGGAGCGGCTTGGGTCCCATTTGCGACCTATAATTATGGCCTCATCCAACCGTCGCCGCTCGCTGTCATCCCGTAACAAACCCTTCCCTGCAAGCAAGAGCCTTGGGAAAAGACTACAGCTCCCAAGCATCCTTGCAAGGAAATGCCTCCCTCGGAAATAGAACGGCGAATCATTGCCGGCGAAGATGTTTAAGAGCGGGCTGCGCCCACATCCCGCCAACTCGCTTCCTCCGTCAGATTTCCGCGTTAAAACTCCGCTCGCAAAGGAGGCGCTTACGCTACGGGGTGTGTCACAAGGGCAAAGAACCGGCCACGCCCCCTGCAGCTCAGAGCGGTCACGTGACCCACCCTTGGCCCTGTCAGCTGATCTCTGCTAAGCCGTGGCGGTCGTCTACGTAGTGATGGAGTTTCTTCTCGGCAATCCTTTTAGTTCTCCGGTCGGACAGCGCATTGGTAAGCTGCCGCCTGATTCTTGCGTTACGCTTCCTCTACCCCACTTTCTCTCCCCCCCCACCCTCCCCGTGTCTCCCGACTTCGACCGCTCGCGTAACTGTAGCTTTAAACTCCGGATTTTACTTCAACTCAGTGTCTAACCGCGGGAGGGGCGGAGTTTATAAACCACGGAGGCCAATGGGGATAGGACATTCTTCTGACAGACAATTCGTGCTGATCAATGGGGTATGATCGAGGAGGCGGGTTCTTGGGAGGGTAGACCTTGTAAGCCAATCCTGTCGCGGTAAGAGTATGGAGTGGGGTCTCGAAGAAGGGATAAAGTTTGCTTATTTAAAGAGGACGCGCCTCTGGTGCGAACGTCACGCCCCCTGGAAGGCTTGGTCGCTCCCTCAGAGTGGGCTGCCTGCGAACAGCTGAGATCATTTTGAAAAGACCTTCCAAGCCTGCCCTTCAGTTGCTTTCGAGTTTGAGGAAATAACTCATGTCGCAAAAGCACGAATTGGCAAACTCTGAATGGGCGGAGGCCTAAATGCTTTCTTCCTCTGGTCTTCCCAGTCACCAGAGACCGTGGACTACAAATTCCATCTCTCCTTAGGTGCATGGAATTTTTCAGTCTGTCTCATGGGGATAGCATTGACTGGGGGACACTAAATGGCTGTTCGGAACACTAAATAAATTAAAGTTCAGTCCTAAGGAGAGGAAAATCTATCTCTTGGCAGACACAGCATTTAAGTCACTGACCAGGAGCTTGTGGCCTTCCTGCTGTTGCTGAATCGCATCTTGAAGCCTTGCTCATCTTTCGTCATACAAGCTGGGGCTCCTGGGAACTGTAGTTCTCAAATGTTTGCAGAGCTACATGTTTTCTGTTGCTGGCTTAAGAATTCACAAAATTAACATTTATTAACCTATTGTGCATCCTTTTGTCCTTAGCTATGCCTGGGTTGCTAGGTTTAATCTTTGTTAATGTTTAACACAGAACACTTAATGGTCTAATGGGGTTTTTCCTTATTTTTATGAATATGTTCTAAATTAAGTTTAAGGATCTTAGGACACGTTTCAGCAATGAATGCTATACAGTGGTCAAGAACGCCTGTTGGGTGAGAAAATAGTGACATTGTTTCCTAAATCCATCCTTCTTTATCTGGAGGAAAAGTGCTGTAGATAGTCTTTAAAAATTAAGGCATGACATTCACTTCTTGATTTTGGGCTTCTTATGTCAGATTGCATGGAAAGAGGAGACATTGCCAGGGTTGGTGGATATGTATTATATGTATTATATAACCATGCAAGCATATAGTTTTGTAAGTAAAAAAGCATACTACACAAGAGTCATCTCACTATTCTACAGGTATATATTTTCCCTGTGGCATCATGATCTGTTTCATTCACAAAAATCCCATGTGACTTAACTAAAATATATTTCTGATTTAAATCTGAAGTTAAACTCTCCAAATAAGATATTTGTCTAAATTCACATGCACCTATATGCTGTTCATAATGCTGGGTAAAGTCTAGACTTGGAGTAGATAAGAGACATTAAAATCAACTGAAACCAAATAAGATATAAATCTGTTCCACTTTCGTGCTTTGCTTCATTTTATTCAACTCGGTTTTCACCCAATATAATTGCTTGAAATATAATTTAAACTCCATATTTTGAAATGTGCTTAGACTGTAATAAATGTTAATAGCATTAACTGATAAATCCCCTTCTGTCTTTAGTGGAAAAAAATAGATAATAGTTTTTGATGATATTGGAGTCCATGGAATCCAAAACCTTCAAAACCGGTAATTCTTAACACGTTAGTGATGTGTCATACATTGCCACATCTCCACACCCTGGTAGCAGGCTAACATACATCTTGCTAAGTTTGCCTGTAAGAACTCAGGCAATACTCACACATATTACCAGTTTGGAATATCGAATTTGCTGGCACATTTAGTTTTGTGGTCTTCCAACTAGAATTTTTGTTGTTGTCAGGTGAGATTTAAATTGCTTTGTTCATTCCATATAAAAGTTGTGGGGCCTGAGTTAGACTTCTGAGTTGTTGATTCTTCTAATTACAGCTTCCGAAGCTGAATTTAGCATGTACATCATTCACATCACTATGTCTTAGAAAAGCTTCATAAAAGGAGTAACATTCAGTTGCCCTTGTTTTTCCCCCACTTCAAATGCAAAAACGTATGAAATGTTATAACTCAAAATCGATGTCACTGATATATGAAAGGAAAAAAGTTTTTAAAAGAAGATGAGGCTTTTTTATGAGGTCTCAATCCAAAGAGGTGTTCAACAGAATGTTCAGCACAGGCATACATGAGAACCGTAGAATGAGATAGAATCAGGCCAGTAGTTTTCATTTGCAGCATAATGCACAATCATAAGGAAACGGAAGAAGTTGCGAAGATAATATCAGTTTGCCATGGGCTATCTTCCTTGCTATCTTATGTTCTGTATTTCTTAAATTTGGAGAGCAAACGAGCTTGGTTCCTGAGTTATGGGTGCTCCATGGACCCACATAGGGGTTTTCAAAAAAAAAACATTTATCCAAGATGGTATGAGGACTCCTGCCTTGGGCATGGAGTTGGACTCCAATGTCTCCTCCAACCCTATCATTCTATAAATTGCTGCTTTCAAAATGTATCCAAATACAAACTCATCAACTATTGGCCCTCATGTCTTTAGTTAGTAATGGGAAGGAGATAATTGAGAAAGCCCCATTTTGGTGGCAGTGGCTTAGATGGAAGATATTGTTTCCAGAAGCGATAGTGGCAATTCTGTCTTCAGAAAGGACACTAATGTGTTAACAGTGGAAATGACAATTTTTAAATTGTTAAATTTAAATTAGCAGAAGTGTTCTGCTAAATCCTAGAAGTGAAGTATGTTATCTGTTTTTTTTATATTTTTCATCAAAATTGGATATTAAAAAGAACTTTCAGCAGATGGCAATACCTAGTTGACCGTAGTTGTTCTCATGCGGTCAGATCCAATTAGTAATTTGACAGGAGATCAGCAGGAAATTCTAGGACTGTAAGCCATCTGGAATATCTTTTAAGATGCTCAGCCTATAATTTATATCTTTAGAAATAGCTCAATTTGTCCTATCATATTGATTTATTTCCAGTTTTGTGTATTATTGATAAGCATAACACTGAAAAATGTTTTTTTTATATTAAACCTACCGACATAGATTTAATACACAGTGATTACCAATTTTCAGTGTTATGCTTACAGAAGTCTTATAAGAATTGGCCAATATTATTGTTCCAATAAAGCATGTAGGAACACAGAATAAGATATATTGGCTTGGCAAGGATTCTTGGTGAGTTTGTAACTCAATACAATTTTGAATGGATAATTTTTCCCAGAAAAAAAGATATCAAACATATATATATAATTTGAAGTGAAATGGTCAATTCTGTTACGTAACTTGACTGAATGTGTAGATCTGGCCCTTATTCCTTATGTTGTTTGAGAATTTTATACCTCATCTATAAATAATATAGTTGCATAATGACATGGCTCAAATATTTTAAACAAGGATCTTGAACATCAGTATTAAAGCCATATAATCTAACCGGTAACAATAGAGAGTAATGTAATCTCTGAAGATTATTTAATAACAGCTTTATTGTCTCTTCTTGCACTAACTGCAATTTTCTTGTTGTGTTTCAAGGGCAGATTCACAATTCTATGCTGTAATCTAGATTGGAATTTAGCTATTAAGAGACCATTAGAGACAGGGCATTCCAGTCCAGAAAGTGTTGCAACCAGGCATACTTGGTCAGCTATAGGCCTAGCACCTATATGGGGCATGAGTAAAGAAGGTGACCTTTTAAACTTCAATAAAA